CGGTATCCAAAGATCCTACACCGAAAGAACCGTGACACGGTTCAACGAGTACAGAGCATGAACGTGTATTTGCTGTTCTGTATGCCCTGACATTTGATTTAAGGGCTAATAATGTTAAACGCCTGTCCCATTATTCTTTCTGGTCGAAACCCGTATTAACAAAGCAAAGAAGTATACATGGTAACGAATTTATTAATGTATTCCTTGCCTCGTTTCCATAGATACATCGTAGCTTCTGTTGCAGTCGACGTTATACAGGCAACGAACTGTTGTCAGCGCTGTGAGAATGACTGCGGCGTTGTAACGAATATTTAACAATTCTTTGCGTCATTTCCATCGTTACAACAAAGCTTCAGTTATTGACAAAGTTATACAGGCAACGTGCTGTTGTCAGCGCTTTAATAATATCAGTAATTACTAGGAAACTATATATAGGCAACGTGGTGTTGTTAGAGTTTTAACAATAAAATTACTTACTAGGAAACTTTATATAGGCAACGTGCTGCTGTTAGCTCTTTAACAATATCAGTACTTACTAGGGAACTACGTATATATACAGGCACAGTGCGATTGTCAGAGCTTTAAGAGTATCAATACTTACTAGGAAACGGAATCATTTACGTGGATACATTCTAGTTTTCTTACTGGTGTTTGAGCAGAAGATTCAGTGAGACAAACTGTATTCTGATACAAGAATATTGAGGCATAATGGGTGTGACAGAAGAAATTGGAAGGATAATGCGGAGTTTTTCCAAAAGTTTCAGTCGAAAGACAAAAAGCAAAGTAAGTGTAAACACTGCATGAAATTTGTCAAGATTAAATCACAGTCGTTTCTTTCCAAACCGTTGTATTTCGTAAATATAAATATGGGTTTCTCAGCATTCCATCGCCCTCGGTGCTGTTATCGAAAAGCCAGTTTGGGGAAAGCGGTTCCTTTCCAGGTGGCATAAACAACACTTTAGGTATAATTTTTCTGTTCTCTTAAGTTTTCACATCAGAGAGGATGTTATATAAGGACTATTGTCACAAGAGCTCAGTTGAAAAAATAATCTCTGCTTGTGAGTCTCGAGGAGCTTGACGCCACATCGAACTGATTGGAGGTAAACCATTATCTGTATAGTAATTCTGACTCTGAAAGTCCGAACTTCTAAGGTCGAATAACGGTCTCTCGAATCGCATTCATGGGGGTTGGGTGTCACTGTTGCTTTTAATCCAGAATTATCTGCAGTGAACAAAGCTCCTTTAGGAATCATGTTATGTCTCTTGGCATGCGTTTCCGGAAGTGATCTATAATTGTACCATTCATTTAAGTATATTTACGTGGCTTTATATCATAATAAGAGGTCTAGATAACCGAGATTAACGGCCGTGGGGAACGGTTACGCTGATCACGTGACACCCTCTATCCGCAAAATTTGGCACTAACTTCGCCGACAAGCGGCGGTCGGTCGGTCGGTCGGTCTGTCGGTCGGTCGATCAGTATAGTTCATTTTTATATCGTCATTAAATATTAGGTATTCGACAGAACTGAATGTAGAATGTTGTACTATAGTTTCCTTGCAGATCATTTCTACTGATTATATTCCTGCCAATCAGAGTTTTACGGTCTTTACACTGACAAGGCAGCAAAAAACAACAAAATATTTCATTTATTGAGACTAAATTTCGTATGTATTTCTATTGTGTGAACTACAGTGCACTTATCACAGTAGCCGCGCCGTCAAAATCATGTACTGGTTTCGCTGATTCGTTCACTGGAATTGTGGGATCTCCAAGTGTAATTAGAATGAACAAGTAAAAGTGGATGAGATAGGCAGTGCACGTAGCACAAATGGGGAAGAAAAGGAACGAATATAGGATACTGGTGAGAAGGCCAGAAGGAAAAAGGCCACTGGGAAGACTAAGACGTAGGTGGGTGAAAACTGTTAAACTGGATCTTAGAGAGATATGATGGGACGGATTGGACCGGATTCATGTGGCTCAGGATAGGGATAAGTGGTAGGGTCCCGTGAACACGGAAATGAACTTTGGGCTTCCATGAATGCTGGGAAGTATTTGAGTAGCTGCACAACTGGCGGCTTCTCAAGAAGGGCTAAGCTCCACGAGTGAATATATTCTGGCGTACGAGTACAGAGCATGAACGTGTATTTGCTGTTCTGTATACTCTGACATTTGATTTAAGGGCTAATAATCTCAAACGCTTGTCCCATTATTCTTTCCGCTAGAATCAAGTGTTAACAAAACAAAGAAATATAGATGGTAACGAATTTATTAGGGTACTAGCTGTTCATTTTTATTCTTTTCTCTAAAATCACTAAATATTTTGATAAAATAATATACTCTTGATGTAGAACTGCTTCTACCGAATTCTGTCGAACGAATCCTGGAGAATCTTCATTTTCTCAGATTCGCGATATGGATGTTTATACCTCGGGCTGAGGTACTTTCATGTGGACCAAGTATAGATCCCCTCTGTTGCCCCGGAAACGTGTTTCAGCTAGATTTTTTGTAGGAGCAGACGTCTCTGGTGAGCTTCTCTGCCTGCCAAATTCCGGCCTTCAGGCGTTATGTGACAATATTTTTAAACCACATGTTATGATGTTGTTGGATGCAACATTAAGTGAGTTTTCTCAGGTTTAATTGAAAATGTTAAACCATGCAAATTCTGTTGAAGCGGTTTCTAGATTTATGTATGTTGCTCAAACACTGTAGATTCGTTATTTTTAGTTCGATGACAATGAACCTCAGGATTTCTTCATCCACGTGTCACTGTACGTGTAATTCTGCCAGTAATATGAATTTTCATTTTACTGCAGGCGTGTGGAAGTACACATGAGGTCGTGTCTGTAAATACACAACCGGATCTTGAAGATAACAATTTGACAGCAACTATGACCGAGAAATATGCGGAAATCGAAGGACTGAGGGCTGAGATAGACAGTGAAGCAGGGGCACTGAAAACTCAGTTGGAGGTAAGGAACAATTACAAATGTATAAATTATTTCTTGCACACTATTCCAAAGAAAATTCAAGTTCTGGGCATCTTTATGCTATGCGGACGTCAATTTCCCTCAGTTTAGACCTTTATTTTGTATGTATTTATTTTGTATTCTAACGGTATGTTATTTGTACCAGATCCCATCTCAAGACGAATTGCAAACATGGAATGAGGAAGACAGTTCTCCTACTACAGTCTCCTTATGTGAAAGTGAAGGTAAATATTATGCCTAGATATTACTATTCTTTTCTATCAGTTCTAATGGTAGGGCACTCAGTTCCATTTTTTAAGTAAAGAAATAAATACAAATACTTCCAGGAAGAATATGACCCAAATTTTCTTTCATTATATTTTGATAATTTTATACTTCAAAAACAGTATGGGACACCATTTGAGATGTGTTATCCTTGTCGCTGCCCAGAAAGGGCGTTTAATATGGCTCCACTATTCCTGTCCGTTATGAAGGAAATATCCGAGGGAGCCATGTTACTTCAGAAGTCTCGTTTGGTTTTACTCATATAATAAAACTTGATTAATAAGGATGAACGGGTGAAATAGGTCACGTGTAATAGGCTACCTTTTCTAAACAGTCAACATCCTATTTACCGCACCAATCAGAACGGCCCAGTCGTCCGTCGAAAATTCTATTCCATTGCAGTACTCAAATTTGTTCAGTCTCCCGGGGTTTCGTTGGCTCTCGAGTACACACATACACACAAACATAAGTGAGTGCTATTATAGCAAGATAAGAATTTACCAATTCATGAAGAAGATTTTCATGTTGATGTAGTAATGCAATTCTTTCCAGAAGGAAGGAATATTATAGCAAATATGACATACTGAAAGGCAAATTAAATTTTAGGTT